TCCTGAGCACCATGTTTTGAGGACTAAGTGCTCCTCTGTCCTGAGCACCGCGTCCTGAGGACTGAGCACTCTGTCCTGAGCACCATGTTTTGAGGACTAAGTGCTCCTCTGTCCTGAGTACCGTGTCCTGAGGACTGAGCACTGCTCTGCCCTGAGCACCGTGTCCTGAGGACTGAGCGCCCGCTCCTCTGTCCCGACACCTGGTCAGGAGTCAGACTGAGTCCCTACAGACCCCATGAGGCAGGTCCGGAGAGGAAACGGGCACTGTCACAAGGCCACTTGTGGCCCCCACAGCTCAGAATTCAAATCAGAATTTGGCTGCGGGCCTCTGGCCCTGGGCTTCAGCTCTGCCTGTAAGGAGCAGCCGGGTCAGCAAGACGATCAACGCGACAGGGGGACAGGCGGTGGTCTCGGCCTTTGTTTCAGCCGTGCGTGTAGCCCAGCACTGAGCTCACACTCTCCCTGCCTCAGCCTCCCCCGCGCTGGGATTTCAGGAGTGGCCTCCATAACTGGTTCTCCTAAGTGTAAGAGAAATTTCTACTAAAATGGCCATTGGAAATATTAAAGTTGCAACACTACGAAACTGCCAAGATTATTACAAAGGAAGTGCACCCACAGGGGGCGGATGAAGCCACCAGGTGACTACAACTGCTCCTCCCCTCTGTGAGTCAATCAGACCTGGGCCCCGCTCTGCTGTGAGTCAATCAGACCTAGGCCCCGCCCCTCTCTGATGTCACAGAGGCCCCGCCCTCTGTGGTGCCAGACACAGGCCCCGCCCTCTGATGTCACACAATCCCCGCCCTGTGATGTCACAGGCCCCACCCCCTGTGGTGGCACACAGGCCACACCTCTCTGTGATGTCACACAGGCCCCGCCCTCTGATGTCACACAGCCCCCGCCCTGTGATGTCACAGGCCACACCCCCTGTGGTGGCACACAGGCCACACCTCTCTGTGATGTCACACAGGCCCCTCCCTGTGATGTCACAGGCCCCACCCCTGTGGTGGCACACAGGCCCACCTCTCTGTGATGTCACACAGGCCCTCCCTCTGATGTCACACAGGCCCTGCCCTCTGTGATGTCGCAAGGCCCCCCGTGGTGGCACAGGCAGGCTGTGCTCTCTGTAAAGCCAGGCTCACCTCACACCCACCTCAAGTCAGCTAAGAAGCGGCTGTGCCTTCTCCACCCTTCACCCTTCTCTGCGGGTAGCAGGGCCAGTCCCAGGGCGCCCCAGGCAGGGCCAGTCCCAGGGCGCCCCAGGCAGGGCCAGTCCCAGGGCGCCCCAGGCAGGGCCAGTCCCAGGGCGCCCCAGGCAGGGCCTGGCCTGCGGGAAGCGGCCTTGCTCTGCAGGAGGCCCGCCCCTCGCCCAGGCCGCCCAGGCCGACCGCAGCACTCTGCCCTGGGTTGGCACATTTGCAGCCGGGAGGGCTTATTTCCTCACAGCAATTCGGAAGACGCCACTTCCTCCCTCAACAGCATTTGGCGGCTCTCATATGCGGTTTGGGTATGGGGCAGACCCCAGCCCTCACCCTGTACAAAACAACTGCACGTGGGTCCCTGACCTTGACGATAGACTTGAAACTGAAACGCTTACAGGAAACAGGGGACACTGGAAGAGAGGCGTAAGTATTTTCTGGATAGGACTCCAAGTGCCCAGAAAACAGAAACTAGAACAGATAAGCAAGACTATGTCAACTTGAAAAGTGTCTGCACAGTAAAAAGAAACAGTTACAAGAGACAACCTACAGAAGGGAAGAAAATCTCCATCTGCTATGCAACAGATAAAGGATTCATATTCAGAATATTGAAAGAACTCAACCAGCAAAAGAACAAATAATCCAATTAATAAATGGACCTGCGGATTGACCAGTTCTCAAAAAGGAGAAATACAGATGACTAACTAACAGACACACAAAGAAATGTTCAACATCTTTAGGCATAAAGAAAGCCACCCCAGACTCTACCCTCCCCGGCAAGAAAACAAGAAAGCTGGCCAGGATAAAGGCGTCTCATGCAGTGCTAGTCCTAGTCCACAGAAGGGCCTGCACGATGTCCTCCTGTCAACACCTCACTTCCAAACAAGGCCAGCTTTACCAAGGGTCGCTTGGAGGGACGTGTCGGTTCACAAGAATTGCCTCACACCCACACTGTGAGCACTGGACCAACCCAGGACCAGATGATGACACGCAAGGAGGAGAGGGTACTCCCCTCCCCAGACCAGCAGAGGTCTAGAGGACTGACTGGCAGGGAGCGTGTGCGTGCCATCCCAGCAAAGCCCGCAGTGCCCACCCGGGGCCCCCGGGGGAGAGCCGGAGGTGCCATGACAGCGGTATCTAATGATATCTGCCTCCCGCTTCTTCACCGAGTGGCTTCCTCAAAGAATGTCATTCCTAGCCTCCAGTGTTACTTCAAAGCACTTCTCTATGTGCTTTGCTAAAGTGTCTCTTTTGGTTGCTGTTTATTTTCTTCCCGATCCTTCTAGGCTGAGAATGTTTAAAATCAGACAAAGAATGGCAGGGCAGCACTGAGGCACGTGCACCTGTGTTTGTTTAGGAGCAGAGATGCAGGTTGGAGGCCTTGCTTGTTCCCCTCCTCTCTGACGAAAGACACAGCTAGCTGATTACCGATTTCCACTAGCAGGAGTAGCCAGGAGCCTGCAGGGGTCTGGTGAGGTCTGAGCGGTGGCGGAGGGAGGCGGGCCCTGACTGGGCCTGGAGCTGTCCAGCTGCTCTGGTGCTGAAAGTACCCAGGGTAGCTCCTACACTGGGGCGAGGATGCAAACTGCCTTATTTGCCTTTATGTGTTTGCAGTCAGTGCAAACCCTAAATGCACGGTCTGTGTTCTGCAGCCATTTCAACCTTGGAAAAGAGGAGCTGGTGGACAATATTTAGAGGATAGAAGACCAGCAGAATCATATTTCACTGAGTAAATTGACAAAAGGTCAAAAAGCTTGATCTTGGCTGCTGATGTGCTTGCTCTGAAAGCTAAACTGCCATTTAAATATTTATAGGTGAGGCTGAAACTGCGCCTGCACTGCTTCAGCCCACACCGGAGCGGGCAGGGTCCACGGAGGGCTCACACAGTTCCTGGAATCCTGGAGGAACAGGAGGCCTCTCCTGCCCCGTCCTGGGTGCCTGCAGACCGGGAGGGGAGGCCGCAAGCACCGGCCTGCTCCTCGCCCTCTGCTCCCCATCGTCCTCCCTGGCTCAGGCTCCACCCCCACCCCCAAACCCCAGCACAAGGATTGGCCAGAGCTCCTGCCAATCGCCCTGCAGGTGGCTGGCAGGTCTGCACTGGCAGGATCAGAAAAGCACCCAAAAGGCAAGACCTCAACCTCCAGCACTCCACCCTCTCCCGGGGCAAATCCAAGGTCAGCTGCATGCATGACCTTAACTTGTCCAGTGGTCACTTTAAAAACACATTAAAGTAACAGACAAAATTAGTTTTTAATAATATGTTTAGAGCCAAATACCTGTGGCTCTTCCCTGCAAACCCACCTACAGGGTCTCAGTGCAAGGCTAGACCGTACGTGCCTAACAAGGCCCCTTCTCAACCAACAGCTAGGCACAGTGAGGTGGCCTGCCACCCCAGCCACGTGGGAGGAGACATCGGGAGGATCAAGGTTCTAGGCCAGGCCAATTGTCCCAGTTACAACAGGAACCCTAAAGTAGGAACAGCTCTTGGTCTGGAGCCATCCCCCAACAGTGAGTCGGGTGCGTATCAAGTGCAAGGCCCCAAGCTGGGCCCACACAGACACCTCTGCTTATCTTATAAGTCTTCTGAACCCAGCGCACATTTCTGTTCAGACAGCCCCCTTTGAGTGCTCCACAGCCTATGAGGCGCAGGCTGGGCAGGCAGGGCGGGTGGACAGAAGATGGACGCCCCCTAAAGAGCAGTGGCTGGAGCCAGCACTGGGGAGCCACAAGAGCACGGAGCCCGCACCGGAGAGCCACACAGAGCACGGAGCCAGGACTGGAGAGCCACACACGGGGTGACAGGAGTCACACAGAGCACGGAGCCAGCACTGAAGAACCACACAGAGCACGGACCCAGCACCGGAGAGCCACACAGAGCACGGAGCCCGCACCGGAGAGCCACACAGAGCACGGAGCCCGCACTGGAGAGCCACACAGAGCACGGAGCCCGCACCGGGGATCCACACAGAGCACGGAGCCCGCACCAGAGAGCCACACAGAGCACGGAGCCCGCACTGGGGAGCCACACAGAGCACGGAGCCAGGACTGGAGAGCCACACACGGGGTGACAGGAGTCACACAGAGCACGGAGCCCGCACTGGAGAACCACACAGAGCACAGAGCCAGCACTGGAGAGCCACACAGAGCCCGGAGCCAGCACTGGAGAACCACACAGAGCACGGAGCCAGGACTGGAGAGCCACACAGAGCACGGAGCCAGGACTGGAGAGCCACACAGAGCCCGGAGCCAGCACTGGAGAACCACACAGAGCACGGAGCCAGGACTGGAGAGCCACACAGAGCCCGGAGCCAGCACTGGGGAGCCACACAGAGCACGGAGCCAGGACTGGAGAGCCACACACGGGGTGACAGGAGTCACACAGAGCCCGGAGCCAGCACTGGAGAGCCACACAGAGCACGGAGCCCGCCGCCGCCACACACGGGGTGACTGGGGAGCCACACAGGCATGGAGCCCGCAGCCGCCACGCACGGGGTGACTGAGAAGTAAATTCGCCCAGAGTTTGCCTCAAACCACTTCTCTGCCTTCCCAGCACCTCACCACTGTAGCAGCTCACAGAAGCTTCCCCGTGGTGGATCTCTGAGGAACGGGGGGGGGGGGGAAGGCTTGAGGGGAAGGAGCACAGGCTGCCCCAGGACAGGAGGCTCTGGGAACGGCGAGAGGGGAGTCCTGGTGTTTACGAAGCTGCCTTTTCTTCTGAGCACAGCACCAGCGCCAGCGTCTGCACCCCTGCCCCTGGGGTCCGGAGCCGGTCCCCGCCTTGACTCTGATTCTGCATTCAAGCAGGAGACACCAGGCCAGGCTCGGCCTGCGTGTGGCATCGGTGGGGGCCCCCGGCTCGGCTTGCGTGTGGCATCGGTGGGGGCCCCCGGCTCGGCCTGCGTGTGGCATCGGTGGGGGCCCCCGGCTCGGCCTGCGTGTGGCATCTGTGGGGGCCCCCGGCTCGGCCTGCGTGTGGCATCGGTGGGGGCCCCCGGCTCGTGTGGCATCGGTGGGGGCCCCCGGCTCGGCCTGCGTGTGGCATCGGTGGGGGCCCCCGGCTCGGCCTGCGTGTGGCATCGGTGGGGGCCCCCGGCTCGGCCTGCGTGTGGCATTGGTGGGGGCCCCCAGCACCTCAGCGTGTCCCTGAGGAGTGACCACCAGCTTCGCAGCCAGGCTGCGGCATCCTGCCCACCCCGAGACCCCGTGCTCGGCTCTAGGGGTCACTCACTTAGCATGCCCTTGGCCACCAGTGCTGGCCGATCTCTACACTTGCGGTGGTGGTCTCAGGCCTCCGCCCTGGCCACCTCATGGAGCCATGTAGACCCCGGATGCCTGCGTGATGCTCTGGCTCTGGAACTCAGCCCTGGAGACCGCTGCTGGCCACAGGACCCTTGTACAAAGGAAAGACAGATGACAGCCATCATCAATGACCAGTCCGGCCACCGGCTGAGCAAGGAGCAGAGATGTGGATTCCAGCTGCAGACCCTGCAAGACGCAGGCCTGGCACTGGCAGGCAGGGTTGAGGAGGCCGGCGCAGGGGTGAAGAGAGCTGGGGTTCATCCTCCCATTTATAAACCAAGCGCCCTGCGCCCTGCAGATCCGCCACTACCCACCCCAGCTGCCAGCACGGCTCAGGGGAGCAGGCGGTGCCCCGGGACCCTGTGTGCAAAGTGGGTGCAGGCACGGTGTCCCCACACATTGTAACGTGAGCCCCCCTGCAGCCGCCCTGGCACCCAAGGCCCCCAACTGAGCTCATGACCAGCCACGCCGGACCCCAAGGGGCAGACAGCAGCCTGGAGCCCCCACTTGGCATTTCAGGAGGGGCAGTAAGAAGCAGAAACCCCCAGAGCCCAGCCAGGCTCTCCCCGAGGGCCTGGACACCGTGCATCATGGTCCCAGCTCCCCTCGCCCTAGCTGCTTCCGGAAGCTTCCCCACTTCCAGCTGCTGCTCTGAGCACCATGAGCATCTCTGATCTACCTTCCCGCTCTACAAAAACTTTTTAAAAAAATTTTCCCATGGCCAATCACACATTTCACATTACTGGGCCCCTAAGCAACAACTTCACGTGAACTAAAGGTTATGTGAGTTAATTACCAGTGCTTTAATTAAGAGAACGCTGTCGGTGCCTCAGTTGTCCCCTGACGTGGCCTAAACCAGTCTGTCCTAACACATGGTGGCAGACGGGGTTCTGCTGCTTCACAGGCCCCTGGTGGCTGGGGAGTTGGTGTTAGCTGCAGGGAGGGTCCTGGAGCTGGGGCAGCTCGCCCCAGCTGGAGGCCGGGAGGCTCACCCCTGACGCCCTCGCGTGGAGGCCGGGAGGCTCACCCCTGACGCCCCAGCTGGAGGCCGGGAGGCTCACCCCTGACGCCCCAGCTGGAGGCCGGGAGGCTCACCCCTGACGCCCCAGCTGGAGGCCGGGAGGCTCACCCCTGACGCCCTCGCGTGGAGGCCGGCTGGCTCACCCCTGACGCCCTCGCGTGGAGGCCGGTGGCCAGCTGGCCTCTGGGCTGTGGCTGTGGGACCCCGTGTCCCCGCCCGTGTCCCCGCCCTCCACACCCGAGCCACAGGCAGGTTCTCCCTTTGCTTGTGTGACATTGTCCCCTGGGGAGACAAGACCCCGAGTTCAAACCCCAGTACTTCCAAAAAGGAGAAAAACAGACAGATGGGAGGGGGAGGGAGGAAGGGAGAAAGAAGGAGAAAGAGAGAAAGAAAATGTGAATGAGAAAAAGAAAGGAAGGAAGGGAAATAGAGAAGGAGGAGGGAGGGAAGGAAGGAGGGAGGGAAGGATGGAGGGAGGGAGGGAGGGAGGAACGAAGGGGCTCAGCCATTTTCCTCCCCGTATGCACATAGAAACAAGGGCAGACTTTTCCTAGCACAGAATAAAAGCAATCATTTGTTTTTAATTCACCGATTTAAACATGTATTGAGCACCCAGCATGCTTTGGGGCAGAAGCATCCTCAGCCAGTAAAAGCAGCTATGAGTCCCTGGTGTGTCCCCAGGCAAATTAAAACATGGCTCCCAGGAACACATGAGTTTAGGAAGTTATTGCCAGGAGAGCCAGTGGCACCGGTCCAAAGACCCAAATGGCCTTGGCCACCAGGCGAGAGCTGAGAGAATTCACGCTGGGGATGAAGAACGCAGTGTAAAAGCAATTAGCCCTCCTCAGGTTCCAAACAGGAGGGCCTCCTCCCGGCCTGGCCAGAGCCATGACGCCAGCCAGGCCCTGAGCACACACTCACACGGGAGCACGGAACCGCCGACGGGGAAAGACGCCGCCCACCAGGCTGCGCGACCCACACGCCCCTGCTTCCTCACCCCTCTCCCCTTCAAGCTGGCTCTTGGCATTAGGAAGCGGAAGGAACGCTCTAGCACTCTCTCCCCCTGACCTGCTGCAGGCCCCTTCCCACCACCCTCCCTGTCTAGAAGCCCTCAAGCCTCTGAGCCTTCTGACCGGTGAGATTAGAGACAGAAGCCCTTCTGTGTCCCCAGAGTAGCCCAGCGCAGACCGCAAGCCCGAACCACAGGCCAGGAGAGGGCAGAGTATTTCCCAGTGGAAGTGAGCCCGGCTATAGACGCCCTGGGCACGGGCTTCACTCCCCGTGTGGGGTCACGCCACACACAACAGGAGCCGGGGGGCGGGCATTTCCTGAGCAAGCGACGCCAATGACAGCGGTGAGGTCCTGGGTGATCTGCAGGACATGTGCCCGCACCCCGCCAGGCGGAGGGGTGGAGGGTGGAAAGGGGGCTGCAGGCCCAAGACCAGCCTCGAACCACAGAGTAGCAGGGACACAGAGCACCCCAGCCAACAGCAGCCAACAGCCCACCACTGGAAGTCCATGGTCCCCACCCACCCAAAGACACCCAAGTAACAAAAGAAGGGGGCTCTCACGGGAGACCCCTCAGCTCATCCACAGGCAAAGCTTTTGTGATGGTTTAAGAACATTCTCTACCTCCAGCTTCACAAGTAACAATGGCATAATTGCAATATGAGCAAGGAGCCAAGAGTGAGTGAACAAAGCTGTGTGTGTGTGTGCATGTGTGCAGTATGGGTGCATAGGTACATGTACGCATTGTATGCTAGGAAAAAAACAGGGGTGTGTGTGCATACGCGTGAACATGTGTGCACACATGTCCACACATGTAAAGTGTGTGCTGCATGCACATACATGTCTCTGGTATATACTGATGTGTTCATGTGTGCACATGGGCACACTGTGTATCTGTATGCATGTGTGTGCAAGTGTACTGAATGTGTGCATTTTATGTGTTTCCAAATTACCTTGTTCCAGGAAGTAAACAAGGATGTGTGTATTTGTGCATGCATGAATGAACGTGTGTGCGTCTGTGTGTACACATGTGTGCGTGTGTGTCCATATTCGAGTCCTGGTTCTTACAACTGTCCCCAGTTCCAAGCCCTGCAATTTCAGACAAGTCAAGTGGTCTAGCCTCTCCACCCAGATGGCAGGAATCCGGGCTGCGTGGAGAGCCTGAGCAGCCACAAGCTTGGGAGCAGGCAGGCCCTCAACAGGGGCCAGGGGTCCAGACCGGGAGCCTGCTCTGTTTCTATCAAACCGCTGCTCCCTCCACGCCAATGGGCCACAGCGAGGTCAGGCAAGGCCCCCGTCACACCTCCAGCGGGGCAGGGACTACCAGAGGCACCTGCTCCCCCCCCTCCACCGCTTCCTACCACCTGGTTCAGCTCCAGGCAGGCCCTGCTCTCCCAGCATGCTCCGCTGGGAGCTGACCGCTCATAATCCCAGCTGGCCAGCGAGTCTCCGTTCACTAACAGGCAAAGCCCCACCAGGCTTTGAAAATCACCTTGATTTAGAATTCGGCAGGAAAAAGATTTCTAACTGACCAGCGTGTTTTCCTCACACACACCGCCCCTCCCCCGCCCTGGTGCCCGGGCTGGGAAGGGATGCCGTGGCAGCTGTCCAGCTGGGCCGGGCAGCCCGGGGCCTGGCCCTGGCCGCCATCAGATCCTCTAATCGGATGGATGGGAGTCTTAGTTCTCACGTGACTCCACCCCACCAGCCCTGCCGTGAGCACTGTCCCCACACTGCCCAGCCTCCGCCATGGCCAGGGCCATCCAGCCCACATTTTCATGGACGTGGCCATGATGTTTTCATACAGATTTCCACATTTGGAAAAAGGATCAGCCGCATCAATGCTCAGAGGGCCTGGGGCTCATTCTAAAATGGAGAATAAAGGAAAAAACTGTCTCTACCCCTGACTTAAGAAGTCTGGATGATGAGGGGTCAGCCCAGATCCTGAGCAGAGTGGTGGCTGGGGAAGACAGGCCATAACCCCTGGCCCCTGCCTGAACCCCAGCCCAGCCTCACGCTCAGCACCCCAGGCCCTCTGTTCACGCCAGCCGGGCTGCTTACCACACCATACCACTGCAGATCATTCATTGTGACCACGTGAAGCGTCTGTGTCTGGTCATTGCTTCTAATTTTGCTTACTTTTTTTTGGGTCAGACATGGGGTTTGAACTCTGGGCCTGGGCGCTGTCCCTCAGCTCTTCAGCTCAAGGCCAGCGCTCTACCACTTGAGCCACAGCGCCACTTCTGGTTTTCTAATGGTTAACTGGAGATAAGAGTCTCTCAGACTTTCCTGCCTAGGCTGGCTTTGAACTGTGATCCTCAGATCTCAGCCTCCCGAGTAGCTAGGGTTACAGGTGTGAGCCACCGGTATCCAGCTAATTTTGCTTACTTTTAACCTGTGCAATTGCCTTCAAACACAGACTAAGTCATAAAGTACAGGTGAGCGGGCCCAGGTGTGGGCACCGAGGTCCAGAGCAGAAGGGGGTGCTCACAGCCTGGCCAGGAGGTCTGGAGTGTCCCCACCCCGACTCCCGCGTGGAGCTCGGGGACCCACACAGACAGCTTCAGCCGGCCCCAGGCCCCTCCCGCGTGGAGCTCGGGGACCCGTGCAGACAGCTTCAGCCGGCCCCAGGCCAGAGCCCTGATGACCACCACTCTTCCTTCACTATCTCTGTGACTGTGAGCCACAGAGCGAGCTGCGAAGGACAGCTATGCCCTGGCATGGCCAGCCCCCCACGGCCCGGTCCTGTCTCAAAAACACCAGCCCAGGCCCGCACGGGACCAGGCTCACGTGAGACCATGTTGCCCAGCCCTGCCCTCCCCCCCCCCCCCCCCCCCCCGGCTTCCCACTAGCCAGAGGAAGTCCCAGCCTAGGAAGGTGCCCAGGTCAGGCTCCGGGTAGGTTCAGACAAACGAGAGGTCTCCCCCACCCCAGCCCAATGGCCTCTCTGGCCAGGTGGCTTTAGACAGTACACTTGGGACAGCTTAGTGTATAAGAAAGAAAAATACAAAACTCTCAGGAAGCCTCCACAGAAGGTCTGGGACACACCGCACAGGGACCGAAGCCGACACCTTGCTCCCAGCCGCAGGGACTTTGGGGTCTGACGGGCCTCACACAACAGCTCCATCTCTCCAAGAGCCGTGGCCAGTGAGCATGGGCATCAACCATGGAGGCTCCAGGCCCGGCCATGGCTCACCAGGCTGCAGGCAGCCCAGTCTCTGGGTGCAGGGTGGGCACTGCTCACTGACTGCACAGGAAGGATGCTCAGCACAGCCTGGCCATGGAGCCCAGAAAGGGTCTGAGACTGCTGATCCTTCCTGAACGATTCCACCCTCATCCCAGTGGTCCACAGACAGTGACAGCGGGGACTCTGCTGTTCGATCTTCCCCTGCGGCCCCCAGAAAGGGGAAGTCACCTGTCACAGATCAACAGCATTCCGGTCCCGCCCAGGTGGAAAATGAGTGAGGCTTCATCACAACAGGCACACTGGGTGTGGCAGGGTCTGCACACAGCTGACACTGCTCCAGGAGAGCAGGGAGCAGGTGGGACTGATTGGGACACGTGGACCGGTAGCAATGAGACCCCCGTATAACTGTGCAGGCTCGGAGCTGGATGGGGGGGCTGGG